TGTTTCTTTGCTGTGTTATGTAAGCAATAGAGCTTCATATTCCTTGTATTCATATAGATTCCATTCACCCATTCACATCAGCTTATAATATAACGCCAAATTGATTGTATGTCAAAATAGGAACCTTATTAAATTTAGCTTATAAAGTCGAGCTGTTTCTTTGCTGTGTTATGTAAGCAATAGAGCTTCATATTCCTTGTATTCATATAGATTCCATGCACCCATTCACATCAGCTTATAATATAACGCCAAATTTAACTTTAATAACAAATCTTAAAATAAGATTGACATTAGTTTATAACTAAAATGATCAAATTACATAATTGAGAATAAATTATTAATCAGTATTAATCAATAATATATATATATATATTAAATTCTTTATAACATTTTTGTATTAATATTCTTTACCAAAGCAAAAAAAATATTATTATTAGTTATTACGTTATCATTATAAAGTGGCAATAATTAATGATGCGTCTTTACATACAGTTACGATACAAGGGAACTTAATAGGTAGTACCTTAACAAAATAGTTCTACGTAGTTGTATTAAACACAGCAAAATATAACAAAAATTGTAATAACGATACACTTTAAAACATTATATTATAGTGAAATACTTCAATAGAGTAAATAATATAAACACGTGCATATATTATGTACGTTGTAGTGCAACGTGCGCCAAGATTTAGTGTTGACGGCCCGTGTCGCCGACTCTTCCCTGTCCCGCTATAAATTAGCGACCGAAATAAATAGCATTCCGTGTGCGTTGCTCGTGGAACGGGGGCGTTAACTGCCTCCGCTGCACGGCAGCCGCTCTCGCTGGGGTCGCCATGATGTTATTATTCGAGAAACTTCTGGAGCGGCGCGGCATTTTGCGCGCGAAAAGCTTTCTGTCATACAGATTATTAATGATTGTCTTTTGTTTGCTTCCTTTCGAAAATTAAAAATAGTATGTAAATTGATAGTAATCTCTGTTTATCCTTTAAACGAGCAACTCTTGTATATATATAATCGAAGGAATCTCGGAAACGGCTCCAGCGATTTTCTTGACATTCATTCACGATCATTTACATACTTATTTTTTTACTTTTTTTTCGATTCCAGATCATTGCTTTCTTTATTTTTTATTTTTTGTACATCCAGATGATTTTGTTGTTTTTTCCCTTTTTTAAGTTCTTTCTTTTGTGAAAAACACCAGATCATATTTTCTTATTATTACGTCGGTAAGATCGAAAAATATTGTGCATATTTCATTACTCAGTAATTTGTATCTAAATGTAATTTCCAAAATATACGATTTACCAAAAAAAAGAAAACAAACCGAGCAAAGCTCGGTCCTCCGGGTCTTATCCCGGCGGGTACTATCTATTATAAAGAAAAATTTCAAATATTATTCTTAATACTTTGTGATGGCAATGTTTCTTCGTTATCCTTAAGAAAGTTATATAGCCCAAAGCTAAGCGTTAAAGATGCCTTTGCAGTAAGTAATTTATTATAAGAATCGTAAAGTTCGTAGCGAGGACATACGATTTAATTGTCTATTTTAATAAGCGAATAAGACGTGATTTTCGTGCTGAGGATATCGACCGCATAGCTTAGTGGCTAGAGCTTTTGGGTTTGGCAGGCACCGGTTCGAATCCTTGCAAGAGTGAGAAAATTATGCGACCCTTTATCTACATCTTGACATATTTACACTTTAACTTTCATCTTAAATACAGAGACTAGAACTTAAGTGCAAAAATTAAATTTAGACAATCTAATGTTGAAATGAAATGTTTTAGTAATGAAAGAATCCGGGAACAAGTCCATGTTAAATAAAACTGATGGCAAACATTTTAGTTTACAACGTCTACTGATATATCTAAATATATCTGATGAAGCTAAAAATGTACCATTGCCTTAAAACATAACATTTCTAACAAGAACATTATCCAATGTTTTAATGAATTAAATGTTGTATTTGCTTTGTAATATACGTGTATTAATTTTTCATGAACTTTTATAATTTTTTTAAATAAGTTATAAATTAAAGATAAAACCTGACGTGGTTTACACTTAAATGGTATCACAAGTTTCATATCAGTTGAATATAACATTTACCAGGTATAAACTAAAAACCAAAGGCATATCTTTATTGAGATGCCGAAAAGGAAATTGCTATTAATTTCGTTCATAGACGATGTAAATCCAAAGCGATATCCGAGTGCTTTTACCGTAAGCAGGATATACAAGCGGTAAACGCGATCAGACGTGGGCGTCTATTAAGTTAATCTTCAAGGCGCCATTTTCGCACAATAATTCTAATGTATTCAGCGACGGCGGAATTAATTTATCCGAAACATTCGACGTCGAGAGACATTACTCGGACGACTAATAAATCAAACGCCAGCGGCTTATATCTAACACCTTATGAGGCTAATTCGGCGCGGGAAAAAAAGGCCGCCGATAAGTCGACGGGCCGGGTGTTAATTGGGGCGAATTTCGCGCAGCGATAACGTAATACGAATTCGTCTCGTCGAAAAATAAATCGACACGAAGGCAAGCTAAGCCAAGCCAAGAAGATGGATATGCAAAACACTAAGCCCGTTCGTCACTAAGTTCGCCTCTAGCTGATATATTTTACATATTTTTAAATATGAATTCGAAGGAAAACCTTGTATGGGTACTCTCAATTGAAATTCTTTAGTCATACCATCAACCCAAGTCTTTCTCATAACGATAACTAGTCTTTACGCGAAAGTTCCAAATTATTTAATAGAATTATGTTATTCATTGAGCTTTGTTTTACCCGAGATTGTGGACACTAAAGCGTTCGTGGTATTCACGGGATAGGTTGGCAATATTTATGTATTGACCCTTTAACTCTATGCACAAACATGTTGTTGCCTGGAAGAAATTGCTGCCTTAGCAATAAGGCCGCCTGCTTGTACACTATGTTTCCGGTATCTTCTTCCTTGTATTTCCTTGTGTGCAATAAAAGTATATTCATTCATTCATTCATTCATTCAAACATTACAAAGGCGGACTTAATGCCAATATCATAGTAAGCCAATGCTATCGCTTAATTTATAATATTATTTTTTATTTTTGGCCGATCTTAAGAGAGAGAGGAGAGAGCATGCACAGAAAAATAGTTTTTTCTATTATTCTGGTTTTAATTAGATTTTGTCTCTGTCGCACGCACACATTCAATCCCTCTCCCGTTTTTCTGCTTATTCACTGTTATGCCAAAAAAATTTATCAGACAATGGAAACACATTATGACATACGTGGAATGGATACTTATTGCCGTCGTAGAGAACATATCAATTTGTATTTTATGTAATCGTGGCAACGAGTGTGCAGTGCTTTTAATTAAGAATGGTGCCGAGGCGCGCGACGCGGCTCTATAAATCACGGGACATGTGCTAAGCAGCTTCTTGCCTCGACCCAACTGACAAATGTGTCGACACTCACCAATAAGCCGTAGGCGTTGACAGCACGTATTAACTAAGTTTGGAACGGATATTTTTCGTGACGACGCGAGCAACATTTCACCTATAATTAAGAATAGCAGTCGCCCAGAGGAAGAAATTCGAGTTATTCGTTATGTTTTGATTTAGTTTTCACGAAACCTATTCAGTCTGCGACTCTATGACCATGTGTATGTGTTTGAACAACATATTTGTAAATAATCAATATTTTATTTTACTTACTCAATTTGTATAACTGTTTATCTATATAAACTTAACCTGTTCCAATTCTCACACTCCTCAGTGTGTTTAACGAGTTTTTTTTAACACAGCGATCTTTATCGCTCTTCTGTGATTCCGTGTAAGACGACCTAATTAATAGTTACATTTTACATCGCCAATATAACGATATAAATAACCATGTTCGTATCGAACGGATAAGGGTCCACATTAATCGCTGCGAATAAAAGAGTTGCATTATCATTGTACAAAGTGAAAACACGAGTGAGTAAATTAAGACGTTCGCGGTCATAATGACTGTAGCATTAACCGACGATTTACTTTAATGGGCCGTACTCGGGAAACGGGCACCGCGTCCGCGAGAAAAAGAAACTAATTTAATGCGAACTTAATTGCGTTTTCATTAACATTGAACTGCGCCCTTTTTCCCCTCCTTGTCGATTCGCATTACGCACTAATTTGTACGCCGCCGAATGGCAGCGCCGTAGGTGATCTCGGCGCTCACTATGCATCACTTCGATAAAAAAACACTTGAAGCCGCACCGGCATCGAGATATATTCGCGAATTAAACATGAGGAACAACAATAAAACGTAAAATTGAACGTTTACACACTGGTAGAGAAAAAGCGAATTATACTTGTGTAAATTATATCTGTTTATGAAATGTTGAATTACACTGAAGTACTGGATTATTTATATTTTATGTAATTTAAAGTAACAAGTCAACTCCCCTCTAGATGTAGTGATGACCTGTGCAATTGTGATTTGTGCATGGATTGTGATTTATGTCAGTCTGTGGGCCAGATCTATGTTCAGCAGTACTTATACTAGATTAGATTAAAGTTATGATAATGATGAGTATGAAAGTAACAGCCTCTATGTATGTAACCCGCACCGCGAGTTAACAGACTCATTTTTAAAAAAATTACCTTCTATCCCTGTTTTCAGGGAATGAAAAATGTCATTCGAATATGACGGTAAATTTCCCCGCAAAAGAAAATGTTATAATAGCTCGGTCGGTAACCGGGCGGCCCCAAAACAGACGGCCGTGGTTCGTGTCACAATCATTTATTTACACACTCTTTTTTTTACTAAATTTTCAAAATACACGATTTACAAAAAAAAACCAAACCTCCTCCAGGTACTATGTATAATACACTGCAACCGCGCGAAGCCGGGGCGGGTCGCTAGTATGTAATATTCATTACTACAAGTAATCTACTTCATTCAACATTATAATGTAAATATGCGTACGATAGACATAACAAAATGCATTTGTCTGATGATTGAATTTTTGTTCAGAGGGTGGGAGGTTAGAGGCAGAACTGAAGTATACGGCGAAGGCGCTAGGCGAGGCGGACTCATCCACGCACCAACTTATCATACAAACTGCCAAGGATCCTGACGTATCGCTGCTGCACGTCGGCGCGCTGCTTGCGCACCTGAAGGTACCAACATTTCGAATCCTCGATATTATTATGATGTTTTCAATTCAAAGCTAAAACTAAATGAATGTCTTTGATACTTCCACATAATGTTAAGTGATAACCGCCGCCCATGGATATTTGCAACACCCGTGGGTTTGCACATGCCTTCATTTAATAAAGTGAGCGCCGGCTACCTTACTCACCAGACGAAACGCAGAAGTATGCAGTATCATGCCGGTCTTCTGTGAGGTCGTGGTAATCACCCGGACGGACCTGCCTATTCGTGCAACAGGCCAAAATGTAGGTGGCGTTCATTTCATTCATTTTCTCATTTCATCCGTAGCTTTATTCCAAATTCATTTCATTAATATGCGTCCCAAACGTAAGCTTACGCCGGCAATAGCCTCATTGCGTTGCCAAAACAAATTCCCGCGTCAACATTGTGCACTATTTCTGAAACGAGTTGCTTTTACATAACCGCCGGCACGTTCATTCGAACTCGACTGTTAGTTGATATGAAAAATCAAGCCAATGCGTGGGAGGAGAAATTTTTTTTATCACCCATTAACGACCACAAGGGTAATCAGCAGCGTTTCCAACCGATAAGGTGTGCTCCAGTTCTCAATCAGCAGACGGAGCGCATTGAGTAAATATTTCTACGGGACATATATAAGTACTACTTGTCTAAAATGGGTCAAATGAAGCTGCTGCGTGGTGCCACGTCAAAGAAGGGTGCAGTATTATCAATGTTTGCACTTGTTACAGGTGGTCCAGGCGGCGACTCGAGTCACGATTCATATGTACGACATCGAGTGGCGGCTGAAGGACCTCTGCTACAGCCCGAGCATTCCGGACTTCGAGGCGTATCACATCGAGAAGATATTCGACAACATCATACCCTGCGCCATCATCACACCGCTCGACTGCTTCTGGGAGGGCTCCAAACTGTTAGGGCCCGACTATCCCATTGTGGTTCCGTACGTATCTCACTGGCTTCGATGGTATTTGGATTTGTTTGTAAGAATCCAAACGTCTATTAGTAATTTACACTCGCAGGGGTCTACAGCACAAGTTGAGATGGACGCACCTGAATCCGCAAGAGGTCCTGGAGGAAGTCAGGAAGCTGAAGTTCCAGTTTCCGCTGAGTACGATGGAGGCTTACATGAAACGGGCCGGCATCACGTCCGCCTACATGAAAAAGCCCTGCTTGGACCCCACCGATGCACATTGTCCAGACACGGCACCCAACAAGAGGACCGGACATGTAATTATCTATAATAACTATTAACCATTAATTGTTGTCTTTTTGTGTGAGTGTGTGACTGGAATAGTTGATGTTTTATTCAAGATTAGATTCTTTATTTGAATAAGATGGGACTGGATAAGTTATCCGTTCGGTACGATTGCACGTCTTCCATTAGGCCCCGTGTTAATTCGGGCCCCCGATAAATTTATGAATAGTTCGAGTTACGACCGCTTTATGTGCGCATAAATGAGCCCTACTACGTCGTCGTGACAAATAAAATAACTTTATCGAGACGGACGCATAAACTCTAAAGACTTTCCATTATATCAAAAAGTATACATATTTGGAAACGGTAATGGGCGTGGGATGAAAGTAAACGCCGCGCTGGCAGATGGTGTCTACCTGCTGCCCGACTCGGCATGGCCCGCCTAAAAAAGATTTCAATGCACTGCAATAATTTTAAACGCAATAACAATTGTACAAACATTCTCCGATCATTCGCTGAATTGTGATCAATTAGAAAATAGAATTTCAAGTGCAACATTTTAAAAATGGAACGTACTATTTGGTATTTGATTATGAATGAACTTTCTGCGTATTGACAATAATTTAAAAATGGAATGCAACGCTTGTTTGTTTTGGGAAATGTTTCGTCTAGCGTTCAGCTCGAAATGGCACGGACAAAAAAGACGGACGCGTTGTCTTCGGGAACGGACGCATAGGAATCGCGTTTTGGTGGGCAGGGTGCGGTGTTTTGTGTGGACGTCCGCCACCCACGCTCGCCGAAGGAACGGCTCATTGTTCCCGGGCGCGGCATACGGGCGCATTGTGCACGCCTCAATGGGCCCCCGCTATCGGCTAACAATGTCACCATTATATCAATAACGCCCGCCGATACGGACGTTTCCACGTAAAACTCGTAAATTTCGCGCTCCCCTTTGTCCGTCCCGGGGGTTTATTGCCGACGCAGTCGCGTGGATTATGATGCAGTTTCGTTCGACACCGGTTCCGGTTGTCCTGTTCGCGGAATAACTATTTTGCGTTGTTGATTTGAAACATAAACCGATTTAGCTTATTTGTGTTCGACAATAAATAAGTCATTGTAGAACATGTTTATGATGCCATAACATTAATGTTTCTTTAATCCGTTTAAAAATTTGGCAATTCATTACAAATTATCTAGTCAAGTTTAGGAGCTTATGTCATTCTTAAAATAAGTGTCTTTAGACTTGTCTGAAACTTTACAACTGTCAGTAAAGCATTATTGAAAGAAATTAGGTCACGAAGTATCAATATTATTCTTTAGTTAGACGTCTAAATGATTGATGAGAAATGTTACACAACTATAGTCAACGAGTTACGATTCAATTATTAACAACTGGTATGGATATGGTACTTGTGCATATGTTTTTCGAACGTTACCAACAACTCACTCCTAACGTACTGCATTGGGTAGTGCTCAAAAATTAGATGAACATGAAACAAAGGTTATTCCCCGTTCTACATAGTCTATGGTCACGCGAGCGCACTGAACTCAACCTTTAACTTGAAACCGACCCAGGTCCCGGACGTGGCGGCGGAGCTGTCGCACGGCTGCTACGGTTTCGCGGCGGCGTACATGCACTGGCCCGAGCAGCTGATCGTGGGCGGCGCCACCAGGAACTCGACGAGTGCGCTGCGTAGCGCCAAAGCGCTGCAGAGCGTGGTGCAGCTGATGGGCGAGCGCGAGATGTTCGAGTACTGGGCGGACCACTACAAGGTGCACCACATCGGCTGGAGCCAGGAGAAGGCGGCCGCGGTGCTCGACGCCTGGCAGAGGAAGTTCGCCGCTGTGAGTTTCATTTTTTGGTGCGACAAGTTGTCATGCGAAAGGCGGTTGTCAACTCATTAAACACATGGACATATTTTACGTCCGATGAATCGACTTGGAATATATTTGCATATAGGTATAGTGCAAATACTGGTAGAATTGGCCAAGTGACTGAAATGGCGGAGTTGCGCTCTACCAGAGCAGCCTTTTCCTTGTGAAAGATACATATTTATTTTTTGATTATAATGCCCCACCCATCCTTCCTACGAATTAAAACTTTGTTTTGTATTCAGTTTTTAAGTTTTTCGGGAATAAATTCTTGCTTGAGTAAACATACGTCATTTATTTTGCGAATAATATTCAGTATATAGAAAGTAATTTTTGTATATTAAGTTTTTAACACTGCACTTTATTTCCATATTCGTAATTACGAGCTGCCGCTGGTAAAATACGAGGTGCTATTTCTAATCCAAACTATTCAATATCTTTTGCAGGAAGTAAGGAAAATGACTACATCAGAGTCTGTGTCTCCATCGTACAGCTTCTATCCCTTCTCAACGTCCACGCTAAACGACATCCTCGGCAAATTCTCAGAGCTGTCATTGAAGAACATCATACTGGGCTATATGTTCATGGTGAGGATTCCGCCAAGTATTACATTCATTCATTCATTCAATCATTTATGTTTTAGTTTCGTTATGTTTCATTCAAATCTGTTTAATTTCAGTTGATTTACGTTGCGGTCACACTGATACAATGGCGCGATCCCATTCGCTCTCAAGCCGGTGTTGGCATCGCTGGAGTGCTATTGCTCTCTATTACAGTGGCCGCTGGCTTAGGTTTTTGCGCTTTATTAGGTGAATATTTTTATTTGCTTCCTTTGTATTCATTTATAAATTAGTTTTTCATTTGTCATATTTCATCTTGCTTCACGTTTTTTTTTTGTTATAATTATGTAGGAACATGCTCAATGATGTAATCTATTACATCACTGTGTTAAATTAACTTAAGTTCCTGATACTCATTTCCTATTTAGGAAACCTTAGATCGATTCATAATTATAAATTTTTCGGACTTGAGGACACTTGAGTCCACTGAAATTCTGTGTTTTATAATTTACATACTTAAAACAATTCATAACATGTAATTGAACTGACTAGTTTTTCCCTCAATAATTTTCTTACACTCTTTGCATTCAACGTAACACTTAATGATTCAACTTCTTGACTCTTCATACTATCAGATAAAGTTCCAATTCTTGTAATTCTCTATAGGGCACTTCGCCCTTCGTAAGACGTAATTTTGTTGATACGGCAACACAGCTCAACAAAGATTTTCTTATTTCGCAGGTATACCATTCAATGCGTCCAGCACCCAGATAGTGCCGTTCCTTGCGCTGGGGCTAGGCGTGCAGGACATGTTCCTTCTCACTCACACGTACGTGGAACAAGCGGGAGATGTGCCACGGGAAGAGAGGACGGGCCTGGTTCTAAAGAAGAGTGGGCTAAGCGTGCTGTTGGCTTCACTGTGCAACGTCATGGCGTTCTTAGCGGCGGCATTGTTACCCATACCGGCTTTAAGAGTCTTCTGTTTGCAGGTAATTTATCGATCAGAGAACCCAACTTTGATAAATTCGACGTGCTCTGATCATTAAATATTCAATCAGTCATTGTATTTCATGGTCAGTCACGTCACCTCTGTGCACACCGGTTTTATTAACCGAAATGCAAAACACTAAAAAAGGCTAATACCTTAATAATAATACTTAAATACTAGGATAATCTATGTACAAAATTGTTGTTGTCTGTCAAAGTTGTTGACGGTTGTGTTGGAGACTGGAGTTGATTTTGTTGATTTTAAAAAACATTCCGCTTACTTGACGCTGATCTCCTGCGGTTCCCCAGACCTGCTCGTTCATTTGTGCAACAGTGGAAGCTGTTTCGTGCTGTAACCACAGTAAATAGGCCAAACCAAGTATTATATACGAATATTCCAGATCGGCGTGTTTTTATAAGTTATTTACATTTTGTAAATATTTCAATTAGGGTTTTTTTGTGTTGTAAGGATGTTTTACAAATATAAATTTCACGTGGACAAACACCCAGATGCGGAATTACTATCTGTGGGTCGCACAAATAGTCGTCCCGTGTGGAAATCGAACCCACGACCGCCGACGCCGAAGCCAATACCTCGTCAAATGCGCCACGGAGTCACCGAGATCATTCTTTTTATTTTCCAGGCAGCGATCCTGCTCCTGTTCAACCTGGGCTCGATGCTGCTGGTGTTCCCGGCGATGATCTCGCTGGACCTGCGGCGGCGGTCGGCCGCGCGCGCGGACCTGCTCTGCTGCCTGGTGCCCGAGGCGCCGGTGGCCAGGGCCAAGAAGCCAGCGGAGCGACCCAGCCGCACCGCCAGAGGCGACAAGGTAACACTCTGACACGTACACATAAAAATGTCTATTGTAAGATTGGTAACGTGTCTATGTGTGCGGGAAGTCGATGGATGCAGGTGGCTCGGGATCGTGCTTCGTGGTAGTCTGTGAGGAAGGCCTTTGTTCAGCAGCGGACTCGAACAGGATTGAAATGATGATGATGAAAAGTAGTAACGATAAATGTCTTATGTCATAAGATGATGACAAGCGAGCTGGCGGTTCACCTGATGTTAAGTAAAAGCCGTCGCCCATGGACATTTGCAACACAAGTAGAGTTGTAGATGTATTGCCACCTTTAAAAAAAGTGGGCCCCGATTACCTCGCTCACCAGATGAAATGCAATAGTATAACACTAACACTTTACGCCGATCTTCTGTGAAGTGGCGGTACAACCGGTCAGGCCTGATCATTCGTGCAACAGCGAAGACTGTACGAATGTATATCGAATGTATATATATAACTTCATATATCGACCTAAGAAAACTTATTTGCTCACAAAACGAGGACCTCCACCAGAGCTCTAGCTTTTGGTATATTAAAAAATCATAACTTCAAAATTGTGGATTATGTTATTGTGTATTATGTAGTTTAAAAGTATTTGCAGTATTTTTCTTTTCTAAACCTATTTGAAAATTTCTATCATTCTGTGTTAATAGCGAGTTACTTATTAGCGTGTTAAAGCAAATACAAAGTTTTAAAGTTTGTTTATCTTTAATTTCTTTTTAATTCAATTAAATGCATTTATGGAGCTTAGCACAATCAATTTTACTTTGTATGGTTGCCAATAACGTCGACTGTGTAGGAAACATTAACCAAATCTATACAGTAAAATTATTATATTTCTAACAGAGCAATTGGAAGGACGCTACGCGACAACCTCTAGATCCGGAGGTGTCGGGAGATGTGGCTAAGACTTGCTGCCTAAGTTTGTCTCTCACCAAATGGACCAAAAATCACTATGCACCATTTATCATGCGGCCTGCTATTAAGGTATGCCTATCATTTTGTCCTTTTTTAAATTATTATTATGTTAAAATATAAGTACCCGGAAGACCGAGCTTTGCTCGGTTTGTTTTTTTTTTTTTTGGTAAATCGTGTATTTTGGAAATTGCATTTAGATACAAATTATTGAGTAATGAAATATGCATAATATTTTTCGATGTTACCGACGTAATAATAAGAAAATATGAACTGATGTTTTTCACAAAAGAAAGAACTTTAAAAAAAAGGGAAAAAAATAACAAATCAACAAAAAATTAAAAATAAAGAAAGCAATGATCTGGAATCGAAAAAAAAGTAAAGATCGTGACGCGAACCACGGCCGTCTGTTTTGGTGCCGCCCGATTACCGACCGAGCTATTTTAACATTTTCTCTTGCGGCGAAATTTACCGTCATATTCGAATTATATTTTTCATTCCCTGAAAACAGGGATAAAAGGACATTTTCTAAAAATGAAACCTAGCTAGATCGATTTTTGGCCCCTAAATCTATGCACATACTAAATTTCATGAAAATCGCTGGAGCCGTTTCCGAGATTCCGATTATATATATATATATATATATATACAAGAATTGCTCGTTTAAAGGATAAGATATATGTGTTCTTATTACTTGGTTTACTTATTTAATGGTTGTGAAAATGTGCTTTTAACATACTATGTAGATTAAGTTTCCGTAATAAAACCCTTATATAATAATATTATTAGTAAATTTATATTAGACCATAAAACCTAAATAATAAAGAAAATAAAAAGTAAAATGGCTTATGTACTACAATTCGATATAGTAATATACTTTAAACTGTAGTATATCTAAGGAAACTTGTTTCTTTATGTAATTATGAAGCTAAACCTAAACCTAAATATGTAATACATTTTTTAACAAAAGGACGGGTATATTTGGTTTGCAAGAAATTTCATTTGTTATTAAAACAATATCAATAGCAAGAGCCGGGCGTCTATTTCTTAGTCATTTTGCAATATGCACGACTCCGTTTTGGAAGTACTCCCACAACATTCACGGATTAAATGATTGTTTCAGGTGACTTCGATGCTAGCATTAATAGCCGTAATACTGGCGAGCGTCTGGGGTGCAACCAAGGTCAAAGACGGCCTGGACCTCACGGACATTGTGCCCGAAAACACGGACGAGCACGAGTTCCTTTCGCGGCAAGAGAAATACTTCGGCTTCTACAACATGTACGCCGTGACGCAGGGCGACTTCGAGTATCCGACCAACCAGAGGCTGCTGTACGAGTACCACGATCAGTTTGTCCGGATACCGAACATAATCAAAAACGACAACGGCGGCCTCACCAAGTTCTGGCTCAGCCTGTTCCGCGACTGGCTGCTCGACCTGCAGGCGGCCTTCGACAGGGAGGTCGCCAGCGGCTGCATCACTCAAGAATATTGGTGCAAAAACGCCAGCGACGAAGGCATACTGGCGTACAAACTGATGGTGCAGACCGGGCACGTGGACAACCCTATCGAGAAGTCGTTGGTCAGCACCGACACGAAGAACGGTCACAGACTGGTCGACAAGGACGGCATAATCAATCCGAAGGCCTTCTACAACTACCTGTCCGCGTGGGCTACTAACGATGCGCTGGCTTACGGAGCCTCCCAGGCCAATCTCAAGCCGCAGCCGAAGAGGTGGACCCACTCCCCCGGCGACGTGGACTTGAAAATACCGAAATCCTCACCGCTGATATACACCCAGCTACCGTTCTATTTGTCCGGCCTCAGTGACACGGACAGCATAAAGACTCTGATAATGTCCGTCCGAGAGTTGTGTCTGAAGTTCGAAGCGAAAGGCTTGTCGAATTTCCCGTCTGGGATACCGTTTTTGTTCTGGGAGCAGTACCTCTATTTGAGGACGTCGCTATTACTGGCGTTGGCTTGCGCTTTAGCCGCCGTATTTGTGGTGAGTACTTCCTATAACCTAACCAATCTATAGATAGTACACTTGAAAAGTACTTATATGAAAATTTCAGCTGAATTTTTTGAAACTTTATGGGACGTATGGTTGCAAAAATTTATATCAACGTAGGTTAGATCTGAGATTTATTATAATAACATTTAATTCCCCTGTTTATCCCAGATATGATCAGAATGTTGTAAACTCTTATGAGCATATGAAATTGAAAATTGAGGTAACCCACTATAGTTTTAGATTTAATTGACAAAATCTAAATTTCAAAACTTCGATAAAAGAAATCATAAAATAATTATTATCTAATATAAATAAACATTTTAGGGTGAACTCGTCCAAAAATAACATCGGAAATTTTGAATTATTATTGATAAGATTATGAAACATTGTTCTTGTCACTACAACATTTTTATTCAATCTGAGGAATTGAGTCTAACAGATCTCAATAAATTTTTAGGCTGTGATGGTGCTATTGCTGAACGCGTGGGCTGCGTTACTCGTGACGTTGGCTCTCGCCACTCTGGTGCTTCAGCTTCTAGGAGTTATGGCGATTTTGGGCGTAAAACTGTCCGCCGTCCCAGCGGTTTTACTTGTACTGGCTATTGGGAGAGGAGTCCATTTTACCGTACATCTGTGCCTGGTAAGTTTCAACTTTCATTGTTTGCTTTCACTGAACTTGTCTCCGAATAAAGAAAATAGAGATATTCCACGACCCGACTGCCCTAGTAGAGAGTGGATCTGTCTCCTGCGCCAGAGGGTGTGGGTTAAATCCCCATTACTAGAAAAATTGTTTGATGAACACAGTCTTATTCTAGTGTCTGGGTGTTTATATATCTATAAAATGTGTTTATTTTTAAAAGACAGTATATTTATCAGTTACCTTGTAGTATTCATAGTACAAGCTTCGCTTAGTTTGGGACTGGAACAGCGTTGTGTAAAAATATGTCTTGAAATATTTATACTTGTTTATTTATTTGTCGTAAGACATTTTGATGATTACTTTTGTTTTGCAGGGCTTCGTGACCTCAATCGGGTGCAGGAGACGCCGCGCCTCCTTGGCGCTGGAGTCGGTGCTGGCCCCGGTACTGCACGGCGCCCTGGCGGCAGCTCTGGCGGCCTCGATGCTGGCCACCAGCGAGTTCGGCTTCGTCGCCAGGCTATTCCTTAGGCTGCTGCTGGCGCTGGTCGTGCTGGGCCTGATAGACGGGCTGCTGTTCTTCCCCATTGTGCTATCGATACTCGGTCCCGCTGCCGAGGTAAATAACATTCAATATCATCGATGTTGTGATATAATGTTCGACAAATATTAAAAGAAAATAACAAACAAGATTTAAGTCTTGACATCATAAAAGTCATTATTAAATTGTCGCGGTTGTAACGATACGCTGTATATCTTTTAAGAAAACTCCGTACACACACTTGACTGTAAACGAAGCTGTCTGTGTATACAATGACGTAGTTTAAGCAGTTATTCGCGACTGACACATGTGCCACGTGAAAATTGCACCCGAGCGCATCGGGCCCAACCCGCGCTCTAATCCCAACGCCGTCGAGAAAAAAAAAACCTAAAACGGCCGCGTGCCCAACAGGTGCGGCCGCTGGAGCACCCCGAGCGGCTGTCCACGCCGTCGCCGAAATGCTCGCCGGTGCACCCGCGGAAGTGCGGCTCGGGCGGCGAGAAGCCGAGCCGGGCGAAGTGCGCGCCGCGCCCCAGCGCGCCCTCGCTCACCACCATCACGGAGGAGCCCAGCTGGCACAGCTCCGCGCCCTCCGTCCAGTCCTCGATGCAGTCGATCGTCGTCCAGCCCGAGGTCGTGGTGGAGACGACCACGTACAACGGCAGCGACTCCGCCTCAGGCCGCTCCACGCCCACCTCGAAGACCACGCACACCGGCGCCATTACAACGAAGGTGAGAGAGTTGCTTTTTGGTCTCGCGAATGCGCCTTGCAGATTTCACCCGATGGAATATATTGACTTTTTTGTTTTACGGGAATGTTATACCAGAGTTCGTAGTCACGGTACATGCCGTTGATGAAATCTATTGAGATTTCACTTAGTCTGTTTATTCAACAATCGTGTTTTTTAAATAACTAAAATAAAACATAACATTTGCTTCGGCATTCAAATTTTCCTAAATAAAAAAGTGAATACACACCTAGCACACGTTATTTTCTACAACGAGTCGAAGTTTAAGTAAATTTCTTAAATAACATTCATATTTCTATAACAGGTTACGGCGACGGCGAACATAAAAGTGGAAGTCGTGACGCCAAGCGACAGGAAGTCGAGGCGCTCCTACCATTACTACGACCGGCGCAGGGACCGTGACGATGACCGCGACAGAGACAGAGAACGCGACAGAGACCGTGAGAGGGACAGAGATAGGGAGAGGTCGAGAGACCGCGATAGAAGGGATCGTTACAGAGACGAAAGAGACCACCGCGCTTCCCCGAGGGAAAATGGAAGGGACTCCGGTCACGAGAGCGACTCCTCCCGTCACTGAGTGCGGATCGAGTGGCCATTAAAACGGTTGGATCAAATAGTGGACAATAAAGTGTTATCGAGCGGTGTTCTTGAGTATTTGATACGATAAATGAAATGACATCTTTACCTGAAGTTCTGATGATGGGTATCTCTTTGTAATTGAGATTAGGCGTACGGAATGTTTTAAGGTTCGCAATATTGTTCTATTATTTACAAAGCCTTAAGACAGTATTAAGAGGAACTTAATTTTAGGTTAACACTCCAGTGAATTATGAATAACGATGGAGGCTACAGTTTCAAGTACATTTTCGACGATTGAAAGAAGTACGTAGTACTGAAATCATTCCATGAAGTGGCACTGTTATATGGTTCAGTATAGGAATGTGTTGAAGCGTGTAATATTTACATATAACTGTACAGACCAAATATCAATTAATATTGATTTCATAAATTATAACACTTATTTTGTGTGTTCCTATTTAAAGACATTTCCATTTTGTCTCCATGCAAGTTTTTGTTACATTTGTGTCTTATATGACTTTGGGCAAATGTTATTATTAATTTATCATATTATTTATTATTTGTGTCTATAATTATTTTTCCGTCACCACGTATCAATGGGAGACTCAGATGTATTGTACAAATTATTTAGATAGATTTTTTTTTAAATTAGGTAGGGCATTTATTTATGAGATTAATTAGAATACGTAGTATACCTATTCTTGTATTGTTGTGATTTTTAGGTAAGACCAGGTATATTTGTGAAGAAGACTGCATTTAGCGATCGAAATACGGAAAAATAAAGTACAACATAGCAGTTAAAATGATGCTATTGATAATGCGACACAATGATCTGAATTAGTAGATCTAACTCTGACCTCAGTAGATGAAATTAATGACTAGCGTTGTGACATTTTGTGCAAAGTACTTATTAGGATATATTAATTTATACGATTTATAACTTAATGGTATTGTGTAAATATAGTTTTAACGTTAGAAATGTGACTCGTAAGCAAGTGCCTACGCCGAAGAGACAATCAATACTTTTGATGACATTTATTTAATTAAATTAATTTTGTAATAACAAACACGCACAAATTTAATTTAATCTCTGAGTAATATTACTATTTATTTCTTAAATAACGAGGAAAATTGGCTATGAGTTGATATTCAGGCTAATACTTTTATATCTTGTAATAATTGTTGATAATTATTTAATGTACCCGCCCAAAAAAAATCATATATTGTAAACCACCGGAGTTTTATATGGTAGAACAGAACTTTTTTTGTATTTAGAATTACCTTAAGCACGAGGTATTTATTGAAACCTCGTGATATACTGTCAACTGTATTGAGAATAAAATATTTTTAAAACACCTTAGTAAGTCTTTGATTTGTCTTTCATCCAACTTATTCAAATATAGTACTTGTACATAAAGAATCGTATGAAAAATTGCACATTGTAATCACTGAACATGCAATAATTAATTATCATCTTTTCGTTCCTTATTACTTTTTTACTTTTAGGTATTACTTTTTTATTGTAATTAAACACTTAAGATTGGTTACTTCAGTAATTTCAATACATTTCATTTTCATTGCAAGCACAAACAGTTAAATGTTACAATTGGCTCTAGGTTGTTTACGTTTTATTGCTTTTTTACTTTTTTTTCGATTCCAGATCATTGCTTTCTTTATTTTTACTTTTTTGTCGACTTGTTGTTTTATTACTTTTTTCCCTTTTTTTAAAGTTCTTTCTTTTGTGAAAAACATCAGTTCATATTTTCTTATTATTACGTCGGTAAGATCGAAAAATATTATGCATATTTCATTACTCAGTAATTTGTATCTAAATGTAATTTCCAAAATACACGATTTACAAAAAAAAAAAAAAAACAAACCGAGCAAAGCTCGGTCTTCCGGGTACTACTAACAAAACGAGGTTTAGGCTCGGCGCCCTCAGCACCCTGCCAGAAGCCCGGTCAAGCTGTAAAAGCCTCCTATAGGCCAACAGACACATCATTCAATTCAAAAATTGACTAACAATTTCACCCAATTTAGTAAGGGGTGATGGATGCTAGAGAAGATATTAAAGCGGCACCTTCTAAGATTGTGTTGAACTAAATAGTCACTTTTCTAGTGTTACAATCCACACCACAATCCACATCCAATGGCAACACAGCTCAATATACGAGCAATAACAATTATACTTAATAAACATTGAACCATATCTGGTATAATATTATATAATAAACCATGCTTAATAATAATTTATTATTTAATAGGTCAATCTTATTAACTGTATTAGTAATTTAATAAGTGCATAGATTTGTAATGTAGTTGTGATGACTCATTATATTTTTGTATATAAGCGCATAATGTTTCAGTAGATAAGGCCCAGTCAGATAATAGCTACCGATCGAGCCGAGGTCCGGCCCTCTCGGGCACCCTCGAATCGGAATGCTAAACGCGTGTTGAGTGACAGCCCAAGCCGAGGTCCCCTCTCGGGGACCCTTGAGCCTGATCACTCCATGGAGCGCCCGCCAAAGCGTCCTAAGAGCTTAGCGGCCTCCCAAACCGGTGATAATAATAGCGTGACGGCCCGAGCCGAGGCTCCCCCGGGAGCCCTCGAGCTTAGTCACCATAACGCGTAATAATAGTACGCAGAGGTTCAGGCTAGGCGCCTCGTGCGCCAGGCCACCTCAAGTCCGTCGGATCTGTAAAGGCCCCTAAGGCCAACAGTGGCTCATCCAGCACAAAAAAAAAAAAAAAAAAACAGTAATAAGGTCCCAGTCAGATAACAGCTACCGATCGAGCCGAGGTCCGGCCCTCTCGGGCACCCTCGAATCGGAATGCTAAACGCGTGTTGAGTGACAGCCCAAGCCGAGGTCCCCTCCTCGGGGACCCTTGAGCCTGATCACTCCATGGAGCCCCCGCCAAAGCGCCCTAAGAGCTAGGCGGCCTCCCAAACCGGTGAATTAAATAGCGTGACGGCCCGAGCCGAGGTTCCTTCGGGAGCCCTCGAGCTTAGTCACCATAAAGCGTAATAATAAATACGCGAGGTTCAGGCTAGGCGCCTCGAGCGCCCGGCCACCTCAAGCCGTCGGATCTGTAAAGGCCCCTAAGGCCAACAGTGGCTCATCCAGCCAAAAAAAAAAAAAGTAATAAGGTACACTCTTATCCTTTGTATAGGACGTTACTCTGTCCTAATAAGTAGGAAGTAGTCTAATTAATATATAAAGTTGTTCACGCTATCCTCACTATTTTATTTTGGCCGACCAACCTACAGTCTTTAATACTAGATTAAATGCATTAGTAATAGATTCCGACACAACCAAATCTACAGTTCGTTATATGTTTTCGCATATTTAATAAAATTTTGCCAATAAATTGTTTTCTCGTATTACATGTACTCAACTTGATAAGGATATGTTTATATTATACGTATAACTCAACATAATATTCAACATAATGTACATTGAAAAATGCAATTATTTTCTTAGGTACAGAGAAATATTGCTTCCTTTAAAAGTAGGTCGGTATTCTACAGCCGCAGCTTCCGAAAGCAGGACGTACTTACGCTCCTTTATTCACGTAGTTGCGACCCGCAATCGTTTACTATTGCTTGTTACATTTCCACTGCTATTGGTTTTTTTTTTTTTAAAAAAACTTTGTATAGCGCTAACGTTATTTCTTTTACTCTACATAAAGTAACAATGGACATTAGAACATTCATTCCATGCTTATTTTCTTATGTTAACTTTTATATAATTATAAAGTAAGTAAATCAGTTATGAAAATCTTTAGTATGAAATTACAACTCAGAACGGAAGGAATTTTGGCGGCAACAAGGCTTGCGACGTTGCTTGGGAAGCGACAGCGCGGGAATCAATAAAGGATTTCCTGGCGGCATGCCCACGCATGTGCGTGGCCCGACTGCCGATCAACGCCACTTAAGCAACTCTCTGTTGCTGATGCCTTTACATTGGACACGAGCTGTGCCGACACGACCAGATACCGTGGAGGGTTTTATTCCTTTGGTTGTGTCATAGCTGCCGACCTTAATGCTTTAGCATGTCGGACATACATCGGAGCACGATCAGGGTCGTCAATCCGATGCATTATCAAATAAATCACGATAATAAGCATCGCAGCGCTGCGTTATTGGGCGTATGATTCGAGCACAGCGCCACTGCGGCTGACGGAGGGCGGAGGGTAGGTGGCGGATGGGGGAGGGGGGTGCGGGGGGAGGCCGCGACGGCGCGCCCGGGCCCTCCCGCGGCACTCTGCCCTCAACCACCGGCTGCTCTGGACCCGCGCGGAGCGACTGCCGACGTTGCCGGCGCGTTGTGAGCGCGGTTGTTAGATGCAAGCGATCAGTGCGTGCTTCCGTGTGTCGGTTGTCATGTGGGGAGTGCGATGGTGCTGAGTGGCAAAATGTCGCCGCGATGCCCGCTCGCGCTGCAGCTGCTACTGCTGGCCGCAGCGCTCGCCAACCAGATCGAGGACATACCTCACAATGAGTAAGAGCCGAGAACACTAGTCGCACACACACCATATTGTGCACACAGAAAGTGCAGTTCATTTGTATTTATTCTCTGAACAAAATCCGCAGGGCTAAATTAACTAAGCCAGAATTAAATTGGCAATTTGTTTTTCAATTTGACTGAGACATTTATACTTATGGATGTCTAATATCAAAATTGTTCACAATAACTGAACGCTATAAATCCTTATATACAGTTTCATTTAATAGTATTTACGTAAGTGGTGTAAATCATTTTCTATTGTACTCTATGCTGCAATTAGATAATGTGCGCCAATGTAGTTGCAGATATATTCAGTGTAAAGAGCGTTTTCGCAAATATTTCGTGAATTACACTTTTCCTGCAGCAGAGCGAACCAATGCAACTCGCATTCATAACCCTTTTTTGAATTATAGGATTATAAATTTTAAATTGTTTATAGTGCTAATCTTTGCACTTAAGATTGAACATTAAAATATGTAGATTATAGGATTATATTAAATCAATTTAGTATCAACAATATCCAAAATATGATATTAAGTATGAGCAAAATGAGTACCAAAGAAATAATGAAAATGTTCGTGTGGGCTTTCTTTGTATTAAAATATCATATTGAAAAATAATAATTTAAGGTTATAGGTAATTTAAATGAAACTAGTATACGGATATAATTGCGGTTTATTTAATATTATTTAACGGTAAATTAAACTTCTGAGGCAATGTAAACTGGTTTTATTAAATGATTTTGAATTACTGTTAATTTATATTTAATATGAACATATGTTTAGAGTTTTTAAGGTTCAACCATCAGGGGGTTGGGGTGACTTCCGATTTATCATTTTATATGTATGATGAAATCGGAAACGTAAGCTTGTATGCAATGAAGCAATTCCGTTATACATTTAATACGACAATCGACAATCATAACTATTTTATAAAGAACAATTGTGAATACAACAAAAGAAAATGTATTCGTCATGTAGATTTATGTTTAATTAGGTACCACACGTTTTTCTATCGACACGTGATTAGAAGCTTAAATACTTCTATGATTAGCACTCATCAAGGTCAATTCGGTAACAATCTTGGTCAACGGTACTTATATAAAACATGTTTTGCAACGTTTGTTCCTAACAGAGTAGAAACAATTTCGTAGATATTGTTGCCAATGTAACAGGGCTTATTGTGTCCTAAACTAGACATGTCGAACACTAACGAGAGCAATGAATCAATCATTAACTTTGTTACAATAAATCAATAAAAAGTTATTTAATGCGGAGTTGATTAGACCGTCCCACCGTATATAAATTAGTAAACTGACCTTAAACTGCGATCTGTAGATTTTGTTATTCTCAAGAGATTGTAGTAAGCCTAATATTTAATGAAGATGCTTGGTCCAATTCGACTTTAAATTATTATTCATAAGCTCCAAACAATCTAGACTGCTTGGGCGAACCCACTTCGGAATAATTAACGAGAGCTGCTGGTTTTATTTTCGAGACCTTTAAACACGAGCGTATCTGTGTCGTAAGACTTTGTGATTAAAAACGCCACACTTCGTTGTGTTCAAGCACCCGTTAAAACGTTTGTCGCTAACGCGTGTAATTGTCAACTTTGCTACATCGCTTATATCGGTTTTGCTTTAGTTTAAATGGCTTTCGTTAATGTCGAATGTTGCTACAGAAATGACCTGTTAGAGATTCACGCAGTAGCTTCTTCTGTTGCATGATGGGCCACGACCAGGATAGACCTCGGCCTCAGAGGAGATCGGTATGATGTAGAAGTATTTAAAGCATAAGCTCAGTGACCGGCCGCTCGCTTTTAATTCACTATAGTCGGGCAACCTGAGTTCAAATCCCGGTTCAAGCATCAATGAAAATGACGATTTAAGTGCTGAATTATCGTGTTCAGCGGAAAAATCGTGTGGAAACCTGTAAGTTTGCCAATACGCAGTGGCGTCACGTGGTAGGCTAGGCCCTAACACTACCCTCTGTACAGAGGAAGCCTGTATAGGCTGTTACTTACTTGACTATGACCGATGTAGATGTTTAGGGGCGGTAGTAAAAATGTTCTTTATCGACAGCGTATACTAATTTCGCATAGTGTATTCAATGTTAATGGCATATTTACACACTTCTCCCAACTGCGCACTTATTTAAAAAGGTTAAATAAAAATATTTGACATTCCTTTTTAAGGATCTATCCAGTTGTAGAATACAAAACTATTGTATTATATGTATACTCTTATTAGGTTTTTTCCATATAATAATTATAGGACCAAAATCCCAGCAGTAGATATTATTGGTAGCTCAAAAGCTTTGAAACTCTTCGCATTGTTAATTTCTACGAGTGAAGCACTTTAGAAGAATAATACTTTATAATGTAAGCTGAATTTTATTTCTATTTTTCCATTGTTAAAAATCGCTTATTGTGTCTGAAACCAAATTCAGAATTTATGTTACTTATGCGTTCCGTAGTCTTGGACTCTGCTCATATACATAAATATCAGTTTTTTTTTCATTTATTCAACAAAATATAAGTCACCAAAAACCTATTGTATTTATCACAAAATAAAATAGAAAATTGGACTTACCAATAGCTAATTTCTTAAAAAATAAACGTTTATTTTTTTATTTTGCGACTTTATGTGATCGTCTCGCCGCAGTCTTACATAAAGTTTTGAATGCGGAGAATATTTTAAGGTATGAATTCTGAAGAGACTCACGCTACGAGGTCAAGTAACCAACACTAGCTCTGCTTTATAGAATTTAAGTCGCGCAATAAAAATTTGAACGCTGCGACACTCTGGAACACGAAAGATGAATCATTTTATTCTGAATATTTATAATTATATCACACACATTGTTGACCAGACAATGACATTGTACAATGAATTACCAATTTGATTTAAATAAAACAATAACTAGAATGAAACAAACATTCACATCAATAAAATAAAATTTACAACATAAAATAGGATCACGTCGAGTCTCGCAACAGCATACTAGAGATGGGCATGCTGGTTCATTGCCCAGCCTGGATGTAGCAACGTCGATAGCTGAGCGTTATCGTTGTACGCGACCTCTAGTGCCTGCCGTGGTTCACGCTATGGTTGACAGTGAGCGGGCGTGGGGCGCTGTCTTTGCATATTGCTAGGACGTTATCACGTAGGATTAGGCCGCGGAGAGACTTAGGGAGGTAACTTCCATAGTGGATATCCGCCGCCAGGGCGCAGGCGGCTGACCAACGTGCGCAACCTTTCTCCCTAATCGCCACTTACCCTCTGTAGAGGTGCCCAAGGAGGCGACAGCCACGCCCAGCATGGAAACTTGCGTCTACTTATTCCCGTGTCCCTGGCCGATGCGATGTTGAGTGGTCACTCGTTTCTGATCGGGACTCCCACACACCCCTGTAGCTCGCCCGATCCAGTGGCAGGGATTATCCATAATATACATTTATTATCTATTAAGGATGTTTCCCACGTAAAAAAAGGCTCGTTCGGGGAGGAACCACAGCTATACACATGACCGGTGGTGATGGGGTGGTTATTGTTTCGTATGGCCAGATCGTTGAATTCGCTCTTTTAAAAGTAAAGAGACTGCTGCTCGCTTGCCAAATTTTCACATGAAAACCCGAAAAAGGCCGATTCCTTTATTTTTTTCAAACGACAGTTTCAGTCCTCGGAAACCTGATGTTCATTGTTTGTATTTGAGGAATGGGGTCTGAAACATGACTCGATATGAGAAATGAACACAACATAAATTTTACTCCGGCACCATACCTTAATTCGCCAATATTTGAATCTGCGTATCTGCCCTATTTAGATTAAGATTAAGGGCCTTTCAAAGCACACCCAATCGTTGCCCTACCCTCTTGTCTCGGGCCGTTGTTAAAGTTGACGAATTCCGGCAGCGGCTCCGCACCGAAAGGGGCGCTATTTGCTAAGCGAAAAAGTTCACAAGTGACAGTTGGGTGTTCCGGGATGGATCAATTTGTGATAAATGATTCGATTAGGTGGCCACCGCGGCTGGGGTGGGGCCGCTTGCGAATCACCAGAAGCATCGACGACAGGTCTCGAAGTTTAGAAATAAAACTGGATGGATAATAGAAAATACAGAAAATGCCTTTCAACTTTAGGTTTTAATATTTGTTTTTATTCAATATTGCAAAAAGTAAGTTATATAATTTTTACATACAACGCATTTATAGCAGAAGTTATCTTATTGAAAAACTAAAATAACATATTTTGTATTAGAAAAGTGTTTTAACATACACATCCAACTCGTATTAACTGATGTTGGTGCTTTTAGTCCCGAGACTATTAAAGCTTCATCTGACGCAGAACTGGAGGGCTAGCCAGAACCCACGGGTTTGGAACCAACTCTTCCTGCGATAGCCACGATATTGTCCTGCCAGACTGTGCTGAGCGCAATACGCAAGGAATCCCGGGTATAGCAAACTGTAAACAGAGTTATATTTACCTCGGCTCTACTATATTCAACCTCGGTGGCTCTGAAGACGAGATCAAGCGTCGATGCGTTATCACACAGTCAGCAGTAGAGTGATTAGGGAAGATTTGGAAAGACAGACGTATAACCAAGAATACAAAGGTTCGACCAATGAGATGTCTGGTATTTCCGATATTTCTGTATTCTGTATGGGAAACATGGTCGCTGGAAAATCGATGCCTTGGAGAGGTGGTTTTGGAGACGACTGTTGAAAATTCTGTAAACAGCGTTTCGGACTAATGTTTCCATCCTCAAAGAACTTCGTATACGAATTCTCAAGTTCTTTGGGCACATCTGGTACGCGCACATCAGGTAACGGTGGTTGAGCCACGCAGCAGCCTCAGCTGTTGCACGAATGGGCAGGCTCGTCCGGCCTACCACGGCCTCACAAAAGACCGGCGTAAAGTGGAAGTAAGATAAAAACTTTCGCGTTTCGTCTGGTGAGTGTGGTAGCCGGAACCCAATTTCCAAAAAGGTTGTCAACGTATC